TGATACTGATACTCCATCTCCAAAACAAACAGCTGCTCAGAAAACCTCCGAAAACCCCAGCAGGACTTTCATAGACTTAACCAGTCTTGACCGTCTTGCTGATCTGAAACACAAAATTGTCGTCCCAAAACCAAAACAACCAGATGTTGGCTCTGGTATTATGAATTTTGAAACAGGTGTGCTGCAATGGATTGCTTCTTTGAAGCAAGTCTGTCCTGGAATGATTGACCCAGCTGCTTCTGATCAGCTCTGGTCATAATTCAGACTTTGGGTACGTGCTGAAGCCCTCAAGTTGCAGGATATCAACTATGAGCAGGCACAACAAAATTTCAGCAAGCTTCTGAATGAAGTTGGAAGTCAGCTTCTGAAAGAGGACGTGCTCCCTCTGGACAGTGAACCTTGGTCTGAGAAACAACAAGCTGCAAAGGTGCAATCAGAAGAAGACAAGACCATTCAAGCTGAAGAAAGTCAAGCAGAGGATGTTGCTGAAAGTTCTCAGAAGCCTCCTGCTTCTGATGCTTCTCAAGCTGCCTTGGACAGGCAGACTCTGGAAGAACTAAGGTTGAATGACATGCGTCTGCAGCAGCAGATGGATGAAAGCGATCAGAAGATGAAAGAGAGAATGGATGTGCAGGATAGCAAGATTGACACTGTTGTCAGCATGGTGCACAAGCAGAATGAGACTGCTGAAAAGATCCAAGCCATGCTGGAGAACCTGTTCACACGCTTGCCTCCTCAACCTTAGTCTCTTTTTTCATTCATGACCTTTTTCATGTTTTTCTTGATTTTCTGATGTACCGTTTGAATATGTTTTGTAATATTTTCTTGTTTTGATTCTGAACTCTCTCAAAATGATTAGTGTTTCTGATCTTAATTGTTTTAGCACATCACCTACACTTTTTGATTGCTGACAAAAAGGGGGAGAACAAGAATGATATTTTAATCAATAACGGCTAACTAGACAGAAATTCTCAAACATTCTAACTCTATTACTTGAAAATGTTTTTTCTGTTTTGCTTAAAGTCTACAGGTACAAGGAAGCTCCTGGACACTCTGAAGACTAGAAGCTCTGAAGCTCTGATCACTATGAAGTTCTGATCCGCTCTGATATTCTGATCCAAAGCAAAGCTCTGACAAGAAAAACTCTGAAGCTCTGCTCTGACATAAAGCTTCTGATAAGTCAAAGACTCTGATACTCTGATGTTCAAAGAAAGGCAAAAAGATCTGATCCTGAAGAACACGTGTAATCAAAGGGAAGCAATAAACTCAGGGGGAGTATCTCTCAACTATGATATCTCTTTACTCCTTATCCTTTTACTTCTTATTCTGATACATATTCCAGATACCTTTTCACGTTATTTTCATTTAAAATATCTAGTTTTTGTCATCATCAAAAAGGGGGAGATTGTTAGAACAAAGTTTGAATCTACTACCCTATATTTAAGTTTAGATGATAACAAAGTGAAAATATATAGTATTTATAAGTTTCATGTATGAACTATCTGCTGCCTAAAATTATTATGTTCTGACTTGCAGATACTCTGATTGATATAAGCAAGATCACATCTATTCAGCATCAGAACTTGATTTCAGACACCAGCATCAGAAGTTGCCATATCAGAATGTCAAAATCAGATGATCAACTCGCGTACATGCTGAAGCCTGATGAACAAGACTGCGCTCAACAGTCTGATAAAGAAACACAACAGTTCATCAGCAGCGAAGCAGAGTCAGAATGAGCCAAGCCAGAACTTGCATTAAGTAAGCAACGATACTGTGCATTGAAAGCAAATTAATTCCAACGGCCTCATTCCAGACAAGATCTGCTCAATAAGGAAAGCTTGTTATTAGCATTGAATCAAGAATATTTCATCCGACGTTCATCATCTCAGTGCTATATAAACAAGGCTTTGAAGATTGAAATGGCTAATGCTCTCCAAATCTCTACACGCACAAAAGCTTATTATAATCTTCTTTCTCTCAGTTCTGCTAAACCACACACTCTGATATTCTATCATTGTTTAGCAATCTAGTTTCTAAGCTTCAATTTGTGTATACATCACAGTTGTGATAAAGTTTTGTAGAAAACATCCACACACTTAGTTTTATTTCTTTGTAAGAAAGTGTTACCTTGACAAACCGGGTTGTGGTTTGGATCAAGAAGGCTTTAGCAGTTGTTAAAGCAGTCTGTAATATTCAGTTGAATATAGTGGATTAAGACCTCGTTGGAGAGAGGCGAAATCACCTTGACGGGTGGACTGGAGTAGTTTGAGATCAAACGAACCAGGATAAAAATATCTTGTTCATTGCATTAGATTTCAGTTTTACAATTCAACCCCCCCTTCTTGTGTTTTTCACCACTTCAAAATGTATCCTGTTGTGTATGTCAAAAGCAAGCTGCCTCCAATCACTGGATTCTGTAAAGAAATATTCACTGGAGGCAAAGTGAATTAGGATACTTTCTTACTTTGAAAAAAAGTATGATTACAAGATAAGTGTTCAAGACCAATCCTACAAACCATAACTGTTTGATGTTGATTCAACCCCTTATCTTCTTTTGATCTTTAAAAAGATCAAGACACAATAGTTGTCATTTGGTTATCTGGATCTTGCTACTCCTTTGTGTACTTTATCTCCAAAAACCTTTCGTGCACCACCAATTTCAACTATTACAACCCAAGACTTCAATTTGATTCGCCTTTCTCTCGCTACTTCCTTTGCGTTCTTTATTTCCAAAGGATCCTTTACATTATTTATCTCCAAAGGACTTTACTAGGCCGCAATCCTCTATTGAATGTCTTCCATGAAAAATCCCTCAAATCAATTAATGATCTTGGAGGATAACCTCGCGGTTTTTCTGGATGAAGACCCCTGCAAATCTTAACCCAATATTCCCGGCTACACAAGAACCTAATTGGACATTATCAAATCTTTCCTAAATAGCATCCCAACAAAAGATCGTTATAATGGTTTGTTAGTGTGTATGCATAGGTTAGAGGTTGAAGGTGAAGAGAAAATGCAGGAAATTTTTATGGTATCACCAACTTGGAATGATGCATGAATGATGTATTTATAGTTTTGGAAGTTTAGGGAAAAAAGGACTTTTTCGGAAATAAAAATATTTGAAAAATTGGCCAAAATAATCAGTATGTGTTGAACTATAAATCGTATGTGTTGACACATGCGTTAAGTTTAAGTTATATGTGTCGACCTGAAGGAATGTATGTGTCGATCGAAGCAAGTCAGAGGCTACGGGTTTTAAAACAACAGTAAATGTACCAACTTGAAATTCGTGTGTGTCGACACATAAAATAAGAATTTCTGCAATTTCAGAAAAGCTTCAGTTTGTGTCGACCTGTTCAATGCATGTGTCGACTTGAGCCTTCCAGAGGCTATAGGATTCAAAATTGAGTTGCATGTGTCGACCTGAACATCGTATGTGTCGACACATGCAGTGAAAATTTATGCAGAAACTGTTTTTTCATGATTGGGATCAATTTCAAACTTGTTTTAAATGATTCCTAAGACCTCCAATACAAGGGGGTTCCACATGACATAGAGATATCATCCAATATACATAAATTCTTAGTTTTCCTATTTTTGACATCATGAAAAACATCTAATGGTGAGGTTGCACTCATAAGTTATTGGTACAAAAAGCATAAATAATGTCAATACAATATCAAAACAAGCCTAGATACAATGGCCAAAATAAGCAAGAACACTTGAAATTACCAGCCTTTAATATTCACATGGAAAGCTCCAACTACAACTTCTTAGGTCAAGAGACAAACCAATAAATCTATATGTGACTCAGAATCACTTGAGTCACTTGATTCAATTAGTTTTACAACTGCAACTTCTATCTTTCTTATCTTATCAGGATTCCTTTTTTTTTATCATTATCTTCTAAGAAGTAGATATTCCCCCAAAAGGTTCAACACTAGTGATGTTACTCTTAACATTTCTAACGTCACTGGTATTATACACCAAGGACACCATAAGTTCACCCACATCCTTAGGTACATCGATTTCTTTGACTTGGAAATTTCCAGTTGATTTCCTAGATGTATCTTTGGAATTCTGATTCATTTTTTAGAGATGAGAATGAACTTGGAGGATCAAAGAGGGTTCAGTTATTTGAGAGTAGAATAAAGTAAAGTGTATGTTTTTCGTGCTTGTAATGACAACCCGGTTGTAACTCAAGTTAAATAAGAAAATGATTTGCCTTATTTCACGTGCCATAGAGGTCTTAGGGGAGAGAAACACTTTTTCTATCTTGTCACAACTCATAAGCATTGATTTCTACAAGGTTTCACAGATGTATATACCAAGAGTATCCTTGACTTTTCAACTTGAATTACATCTCAGACTTCGGTGGCAATGTCTCCAAACTATTTCTCATTGACAATCTTGTTAACCTTATATTTCCTAATAAAGTGATGAGTAATGTATGTATTTCTCAATTTGACACATAACGATGTCATGACATCCTGTCTCACATTGTACTCCTTCACCATTTGGTGTATCCACTTCAGTTGAGTACTAATGCATACTTCAACAATATAGTCCACCTCACTTATAGATAATGAGATATAATTTTTCTTATTACAGAACTAAGATATTAAGTTGTTGCCAATGATACATTCACCATATGCGCTTTCTCCATCTTCTACACTTCCAGCCTAATCATCATTACAATACTCAACTAACATTGGGTTTGTGTCAAAAGAGTAAAGTGTACCTTATTCACATGTCACGTTGACATCAATCTTCTACTGACTTGAGCAAGTTAATTGGCCTTAGATTTTAGTTGAATTCTTGCACACATCCTTTGAGATATAAAACTATTATCTTACATTTGCTTATTTAAAAGACCAAGAACATAATTGACTTCCCTTAAATAGCTCATCTCAATCTAAAATTTCATTTGTTGGAAAACATGCTCCACCATCGAATATGACATCCCTCCAACATGATTGGGGATTATTATAAGATTTTCAGTCTTTCATAGTGATATTCTCTAGCAGCTGAACACTCCATTCAAATGTTAGAGCTTCTCTTGAAATCTTCCTTCTAGTGGCTATCCATTTCAAATACTTTCTATTTAATACAATTTTACAAAGATCAACATCTTTAGTAACCCTTTCATTGACAGGTTCAGACCTATCATGAACTTCATTGTTCAAAGGGATAAAACCATCATCAACATTATCAAAATTATTAACAACATTATCACTTTTGTCATTCATATTATTCATAACACGATCCTTTTCATGAGTCTTCTTGTCATGATTCTTAGTTAATTTCTCCATGAATCTCTTTATTATGTTGGCACAAAGACGGTTTTTAACTTCCATGTTCAAGTACCTGTTGAGAGAGGAACATTTCACATCCATCTGATAAAGATTTAACTTTATAATACATGATAGTCTTGATATCAATCTAATGGGTAATAGTACCAAGAATATCATCATCATACAACCCTTCATCTTTTGTAGTACGTAACATATCTTCACACAATGTCTCCTCATCTTCTACTGCACGATCATGGCTATTATCAATAACCTTATTGGTTATGACAGGGTCAGCCTCAACATCTTAATTGACATGATCATCATTTTCCTTATGCATTTGAGACTCTATCAATATGTTAGAGGAGATGTATGGCACATCTTTATTATCATCTTGACTTCCCATAGTGGATTCCTAGGTTTCCTCACCAAATCCTTTTGACTGAGATGATGATATCCTATAGGCTCATCGAGAATTAGGACATCCATCACAACTTCACCAATATTTAGACCAGTCTTATCAAAATACGGAATATTATGGGGAACAATATTTGCAGCACACATCTCATTCAAAAGATTCAACTGACTCAGATGAACATCAATATCAAGCACACTATTATATTTTTAGTTGATCAATCCACATGTGATATGAGGAGAAACTCCAATTTTCCATAATTATCACTCTTATTTAGCTTCTTCTTCTTAACCAATGTTGGTTGTTCAATGTTGGTTGTTCAATGTTGGGAGGACCTTCATCCTGACCATCAACCTTCCCTTTAATGATAACGCCTTGCTTGAATCTCATACAATTCATATGTGGTAATTCAGAATCATGGGTAAGATGTTGAAACATATTTTAAGATATATTGGCTTACTTCTAACTTTGACACTCTTTGTTAATACTCCTATTTAGATCTTGATCCCACAATTGAATTTTGTAGGTCAAACTATTAGATGATCTTTTTACCACCAACACATCATGATACCAAAGAAAACCTAGATTCACCAGTTTTCTTATGCCATTGATTCCTCCTCCATTTTCATCATAATTATTGTTGTACCCCAAAATTTTCCCTCTCAAAGGATCACCCTGGACCCTCAGGTTTGCTTCCATCCAATTCCAAGCCTTGAATTACAAATTTTTCAAGAAAGTCATTCACAAGGGCAAAATGGTCATTTGCACATTGAAAAGTCAGACTTTGACTTTTGGATCAAAATCAAGTGTCAAGAGTCATATTTCATCAAGACATGTTGAGATATCAAATTTGTTTCATCTAGAAATTCAAAAGTCAAAGTTACTTTGGAAAAGTCAAAATTCTATATACTTAGAATTTTTTCTAAGTTTTTAAGAAATATGATAAGCTCAGAACTTCTAATCAGATTATCAGCATGATGCAAGCTGATTCTGGATTAACTTATAACACCAGAGTTATGGACTCAAAGAAGTCTGAAACACAGCAGAAAAGAACATCAACTAAGAATGTTGGGATTTCAAGTTATAACTCCTCAAAGACATGTCCTTGAAACTGAAACACTCAGCAAATTCTAGATACTTCTAAGAAAGAGTTTGGTCAGAACATCTGGGCCAGTTTTCACAAAGATTCAGTCAGAGTTTGAAATAGAAATTCAAAGAAGGTTTAAAAGGCGTGTTGTAAGCTTCCTGGAAAGTCTGAGAGCCCCTTCAGAACATGCTGGAGCAAGGAGATACAAAGATCAGAAGTTGGATGTCTATTCTAAGTTACGCTGAAGCTGAACTTCTGATCCAGAATTAAGCAATGATGAAGAATCTCACGTTGCAGGATTTCTGGTTTGATCAATCTCATCATCATTTAATGCTCACAACCACTTTTGGGTCTTTGTTCAAAGGATTTCCCCACGTATGGCATAGAGGTACCATCACTGTCTTGGAAAAGCAAACTTTTGTACAAGAGTGTGTTGGGCCCATGCGTTTCTTTTGCTTTTGAGGTTACCTTTCCTTAATTCCTGCTTACAAATCCAGCTTAGGCGCTGCTAAAGCTGTTAACCACCATACATGCTTCAAGAACAAGGCAACAACCTAGCATGTGATGGTTGTACTCTCCAAGCTACAAGATCTTTGCCTATGAATGGAAAGCCATTGCCAGCTGTAAGCAGGTCGAAAATTGGAGAAAGAAAAAGCCTTGAACCCCTGCTAAAATTCCAAGAGTCCAAAACTGCAAACACAAAATACAAAACCTGTTAGCTTTTGATTCTTGTATTCAAACTTCATTTTTCCTCAAGTGTTTCTTGACCAAAAACAGCCATACAGTTTCTGATATACATTTAGAAACCATCCTAATTTCAGTGTTCATACTATGACATACCCTCCATCGATATCCACTTCAAAGAAGTCAGAACTTTGCTCTTTGGCTGTTCCAGAATTTTCCAGCCATTCAAAGGTTTCTAGCCTACTAGGCACGTGAGGAAGCTGCTCAGAACATCACAAGCGGTCAGAGCTAGACTCCAGCTCACAGAACATTTTCCAACTGCAAGGTAAGCTTCTACTGACTCTCGTCAAATTACTTAGGCATTGTTAGACTTGCATGTTCAAAATATAATGTAGACATTCTGATTCTGATGCTGTACATATTCTGAGGTTTCATGTATTTGTCTGCCTAAGTAGGGAGAATTTCAGTTCAGAACTTTTTTTTTGAAGAAGTTAGGACTCAGAATTAGGATTAGCAAATTCATGCTTTCTTCTGATTTATAGTTCTGATATCTCTTGTTTATGAAACATTAAGAAATTTGCCATAACTGCTATGTGCGCCTCTTCTGTTTTGTTGAGAAATGATTAAGTTGCAGATGTTCTGACCAACATGGAGAGGGAGACGAAGTTCTACCAGTGGCATCAGAACTTCTGAAATCTTCTTTGTTCCCAACGGACCCAGAACTTCTGACTTTACCTATTTCTACTAATATAATTTCTATTTTTGCAGCACGCCAGAGTCAGAACTTCTGATCTCTTTTAGTTCAGCAATACGTTGATTCTATTTTCTTTTTCCTTACTATTTTTGCTATCACTTCTATTTTCATTAATCAAAAACACCAAAAACATTTTACATTTTACATGCTTTATTTTATTTCTTAAAACAAAAAGATCAAAAATATTTTCTTAAACAAAACTTATTTCTTTTCTTAAGCAAAACAAGTCCATTTCACATTTTCTTGTACATTCTTATCCATTCAATATGGTTGTAATAGTAACTTTGGATTTAATTTTATTTGCAATCCCCATTTGTAAATCTGTACACCCCATCCCCCTAATGATTGTAATAGCGTAGGATATTTACTTTCCGCACTTTTTATTGCTTTCATATATTGCTAGTAATTAGGGTGTGTATGACAAGACATGAAATCAACAATTAGCAAACCCTAATCAAAACAAAAATGCATGCAATCAGACACACCTTGCACATATGCACACCTTAGGGTAATCTCACTTGTTGCCTATCGGAAAAATAGTCATGTCCCTCGAACATGGGTGTTTTAGAAAAGACCCTCGATAAAAGATCGTAGTCCCTCGATGACCCTCTATGTTGCCTTCGGTAAACAATCTAGTCCCTAAAAAACGTTGCTAAAACATCCATAGGTTTCCTTCTATAACTATACGATGACCCACGCCCATCCCTTCACATCCAGCGATTGGGCATCTCACCAAATCAATGGTAAGATAGCAACACCTAAAGGAGGAGGAAAATAATATCTAAGACCTTTTGAGTAGGTAGATTTGCTCCTAGTTGCTTGCTTGCTCACAACAAAAACATTCTATACATCGACACTCTCACTTTGAAACATTTTCAAAAGACAACACTTTGTATGCGTTCTTATAGAGAAGAGAATCATTACAAAGACACCTTTTCAAAATCACTTTCAAAAACACATCTCACAAACATTTTTTTGAATCATTTTTTAAACAAACACTTTTCTATGCGTTCTTATAGAAACGAGAATCATTACGAAGTTACATTTTCAAAATACTTTCAAAACCCACACCACAAAGCACAATTTCAAACAAAATCAAGTGATCTAGAAAGTAACTAAGATCCCATGGAAAACCATGGATGAAAAGGGTGTTAATACCTTTCCTTTTCATAATCTACCCCCTGAAGTCAAGAAATAATATCAAAGGTCTTTCCTATGCTTTTTCACCTTTCCTTTTGGATAAAAGAAAAGTCAGTGGCGACTCTTGCTAACCACAACATTTGTGATCAAATGCAAAACCTTCAAGTCAGTTCTCCCACCGTACCACAGAACTGGCGACTCTGCTGGGGAGAATTAAAAAAGTGGGGTTACCTTAGGGATATATCACATTTACTTGCTTACATTGTTTGACTTGTATGCTTTACATTATGGTTCTTTCTTTGGGTTTGAATCCTCTACCCGGATTTGGGATACATTATAGGTAAGTAGCAATACGTTGTGGAAACTGTGTGGGGTATACAACATGCTCTAAGCAATAGCTAAGTTAGTGCAACATATTTGTGGGTATCGGTAGCCTTTGAGTTAATCAAAGAGAATACGGGGCCGCTGAGTGATGTCATGAAGCACTAATGAATTTTTAAAACCTTTACTTGACCAGCTTGGCCTTTAGGATGTAGTGAGATGATCGGCTTTGGTGCAGTCCGAAGTTGGTAGATACTCGATACTAAACTCATTGAGGTTTGGTTTCTTGGGATATTTCGGTCGCCATTAAAGAGGCTTGTGCTGAAACAATGACCAAGGAAAAAATCCAGTTATATTGAGCTCCTTAGAACCCGGTTACTATTACTAGGACAGGTTGAGCCAACCAAACTTCAAGAGGGTACTTACCTATAAAACTCCATGCAAGCCTAAACCTAGGAACTTGTTTGTTTTGTTTGTATATACATACTTGTACATAACATCATGAACATCATAACATCATACACATTCACTAACCATTTCAAGGATTTTGGGATTCATCTTTGTTCTTGTTTTGTAGGATATGGATTCTCTTCGTAGAAAAACTATTCAAGTCAACCTTGTGAGGATCCCTCCACAACTTAAGGAGCTAGCTTCAAGGATTCCTGAAAACTCTCCATTCACCGAGAGACATGGTCGCCTACTCAACTTGGTTACCTCCGACATAGATGAGGACATGATAAACGTGCTCTTTCAGTTCTTTGATCCTTTGCACCATTGCTTCACATTTCCCGACTATCAACTTGTGCCTACTTTGGAAGAATTCTCCTGACTCTTGAGGATTCCCATTCTCATCAACTACCTTTCAACGGTACGGAAATAGATCCAAATCCAGAAGAGATTTCTCAAGCTCTATACTTGCACTCATCTGATGTCATAACTCATTGGAAAACAAGGATTGGTGTCAAGGGTTTCCTAGTAAAGTTCTTGTTTGAGAAAGCCCAAAACTGTTGGAATTCCTTGGATTTGTAAGCCTTTGAGTAAATTGTGACTCTCCTCATCTATGGGATGGTTTTGTTTCCAAATCCTGACCAACTCATAGATGTGAACACCGTCAAAATGTTCATATCCCACAACCTGGTGCCTACATTGCTAGGGGATATCCTACACTCTTTTCACACTCGCACAATGAGGAAAGAAGGTTTCCTTATGTGTTTCACTCCTCTCTTGGAAAGATGGTTTATTTTGCATCTTCCCCAATCTGTATTAAAGAATGATCAAGGTTCAAGGTGGTCACAAAGGTTGATGACGCTCAAACATTCAGACATTGATTGGTGCTCCTGATCCATAGAGAATGTTACTATTGTCGACCGTTATGGAGAATTTCCTAATGTCCCTTTACTTGGGATTAGGGGA